TTAATAGTAGTCAACCGAGTGGTATTTACTAAAATACATTCATAATTTTGGATTCATTGAATATGGGCTGCTTGTATTGAATTTTTATTTTCTTAGTACATTCTTTTCTTTCAAACTTTGAAAGAAGCTTACTGAACTGTGACGCTAGTAATAACAGGTGACGCTAAGAAGAGATGACGCTGGTTTTTTAACACAGTGTTTTGTAAACTTGTAAAGTTTTGTTTACTGCAGAAGTTTATGCCCTTCAAATAAGATTTTTAGAGATGGCTCAACGCTGACCTTAATGTATCCTCTTAAGGAACAAAAGTAAAACTATTTGCTTCCATGTGATACGTTTCTACCTTGGGGTTCCCAGCCTTGACAGCTAGAGCAGAGGTATGTAAGGGCTACCTTCTTAGCTGCGCTGACTCCATCTGGATTTTGGTGGTCGTTACAAACATCTATGGCTAGCTGTGCTGGTTTGGGGTTTTGTTTTCTAGGGTTTTTTCCTCTCTTGTGTGCCTCTGGCATACCAGCCACAATCTGCCTCTGAGCCTGTTTATTGGTTGCGGGTGTATAACACGTGATCCTATAACTAAATTCCTTTCTCATACAAATTGACTAAATTATAAATGTGAATTGTCAGCTATATTCACCTTATTTTTGACCTATTTAACTTGTCCTGTATATATATGTGTTTGTATGTAATTGCCACACTATTTGCCAAGAAAGGGAGGTTTTGAAATTGTATCCAGCATCTTCAGGACTCCAAGGGCCACCTGCTTCATATAGCTATTTGTATTTTTCCTTTCCAAAAACTGACTTTCTCTAAAACAAATAAATAAAAATTACGATGACTGGATGAAGTATGCTGTTTTATTCTCTTTAATTTTAGCGATATATAGAAGAGACTGAATAAAGACCTTTGACTGCCTTGCTGGTGTCATTTTCAGGGTGCTTGACTCTGCTGGTTTAATGTGATTTTTATCCTAGTTTTTAAGATAGAACTCTTACAACTCATTGAGCATCATCTTGGGACCTAGACACTAAATAACAAGTCTAACATAAAATAATTACTTTTTTTGAAAATGTTAGTTTTCTTACCTATCCTTACTTCATTCCATGCATGGGGGAATACTGCTGAACTCCATATTGCATATCACAATTTGTTCTGCAGTAATCATATCTTTCCAAAAGCACAGGATGAAACAATTCAAAGAGTAAGTACCCAATTCAAATGGATATAACAACTCATTGTTTAATCATTTTCCAGTTTTAGGGTAAGAGGATTTTACCCTTGCATATCTAAACCAAGTATACAAGTGTTTTTCGGCACCTGATAAAAGGAAGGGTTCTCTTTTGGTTTTAAATAGATTATCCTACCAACGGAAAGCAGCTTGTCAAATGTGAGTAGCTAGGGATGGAATATTTTGCTTTTTAAAATTTGGAATGTGCAAAATGAGGATTATGTCCTGTTGTAAGTATCTCTAAAATGAAAAATAACAATAGAATATCCAAACTTTTTTTTTCAGTTATTATGTAAGAATGTTGTAGCTAAAACAGGGCTTCATGCAACATAATCTGAGAGGATTATGGAGAGGGTACTACTCTTTGGATACAATAGGATTCTTCAACATTATTTTATAGGCTTTTTAAAATTATTTTTTTGCTAGAACAAAGGAGTCCAATTAGTTGTGCCCCAGTATATTAAATAGTTAAACCATAAGGGACTGTTCAGAGCCAGTAATGCTGTATGGTATTTGATGAGATAATGCCAGCAGTAGTGCAAAGCTTTTTTATTATAAGTTTTACTAAAGTCTTCAAGCGTGGAAGAAAGGAAGGATCACATTTAATGTCATACTTAAAACTGTAATAAATGTAATGTTTACCTATTAGTTTCTGGATAGTACTGCCAAAATGTTATGATCTTTTTCTAAACTCCTATATTTAATTATTAACTTAGTTCAGAAGAGGAGGGGTACTGTGCAGTTTTAGTCAAGAGAGTATTTTATTCCTATTCTCTATAAATTTAACTGAAATTCAGATCTGAGATTAGGTGGGCAAACCTCCTGCTAATCTATGTCTGCTGGGCTATCTGATACGATGTTAACAGGATATAGTAACTTACTTCAGTAGATACGTGCAATCTTTTTACCTACACTTCCCAAAAAGGTAAAATTAAGGATCAAAGAATTGTGATAAGACAACTTCTTGGAAGTTTTCGTGAAATACAAATGCGTAATTACCCCTAAAGTTAGGACAGCAACAAGAGCCTTAAGTCATCGTTATTTTCAGGCAAGTGCAAAAGACCGACCTGTGACAGATTGTGCTTTGACAATGCCTTCAGGTGGAAGATGGGTAATGAAAGCACATCTAACTCCCTTTAATAATATACCTAGCTGGTTTTTCATTATATAATGAATTCTTATATGTAATCTCAATATATCAGAGTATTTAATAGCTTTGGCATTGGGGACCGTTTTTTAAAATACGGAGCGAGGAAATGGTCTGGCAGAGTACTTGGGGCAGCAGTGAGTAAAGTTCCGATTATCACGTAATTAAAAAACGGACCGTGCTTTAGTAGGGCCTTGTATTCAGCCTGGTCTCGCTGAGCTCCTGTGTTGACTGGGAAAGACCAGTGGACAGCTCTCGAAGATGCAGTTTGCATCCATAAATTACCTTAAAACTTCTAAGGGTAGTTGCTAATGCAATAATAATTGTGCAAACATACTTAATTTTCTGGTTTTTAGAGCAGTGGATAGTGTCTTGGAGGAATAGCTAACAAAAATCATGTGAGAAGAGTCACCTGAATGTGGATGGGCAGGCATCTCATTTTGCTGCAGGCATTTCGTTTTCCCACAGGCATACTGTGGAAGCAAAGAGTTTGATACTTCATTACAACGTATCTTTGCATATCAATTTATATTTCAGGAAAGTGCAGTGTAGTTTGCTCTCATAAGTGTGATGGAAGCTCTGATTTTCAGTTTGCTTGAGGGTAAGTGGGAAAGGCATTGGATCCAAAGGAGTTAGATTAAAAGTTTCCCCAGTAATCAGACTACATATAACCTCTCAAGCCATAGCACTTTTAGGACTATAATTATTACATTTCAGTGTATCTACTGACACTTCTGGACAAAGTAAAATAAAGTTGAGATCTACAAAAGGAGGCAAAATTTGTGTGAGCTTGTGGAAGTACATTCCTCATTTGATATGAGCTGTTTATAACCAGGTTCCCTCTGTGAGGCCTTTTCATATAGGAGCATCAGGTTGGCTTCCACTAGTATAAAAACTTCTTCACTTGCTCTTATCATCTTTTTTGAGCAAGACGATCACAGAGATAAAATTTACACTAGATTTCAGCTTGTAGTCACCATTTGAATTTTCTTTTAAAATAGTTTTTGTGCTCTTTAGATGTTGAAGCCCCACCTATTTCAAAAGAAACTGTACAAAGATCAAGATATTCTCTTCCTGAACTTAAATATTTGGTGTTAAATCTAATATTTGCTTGTTACAGAAGCGCTTTATTACTTTGGCTGTCCTTTCTAAATACTTGGTGTATACAACACTGCTGACATATTATAGACTTAGAAACTTGTTAAATTGGGAATTTAAAGAGAATACATTTAAGAATACAGGGACCCCAGGGCAAACATTTTGTATGAATTCCACTTAAATGTTGAGGCACGGAGTCAGGCAAAATATTCAGATGTCGTTGTCAGGAGTTAAGTACTTTCCTAAAATACCTGTGTAGGAATCTAGTGAAATTTCACACATCCTACAACTCCAGAACAATTATTAGAATTTAAACAGTTTGAGTAGAGAGGCCTAAAATGAGAAAATTACCTTTGGCAATGAGTCCAGACCTAAGTTACCCTAATTGAACTCACTAAAGAGGAGAATCTTTTCTATCCTATACTGCTACAGTTGAATTTTGAAACACTTGTGTAATATTCTTTTCCTTCTTGTATTTGTATTTTATATGAACACTGTGTAAGGATTTAGAGGTTCCAGACTTTCCTTGGTAATGTCCTGATAGCTTCATAACATTGTAAAATAATAATGTACAAGACTGATTATCCTTATATGTGGTCTTCACCCAGAGTGAAGTGCCATAAACATATGAGAAAAACACCCTCAGTCACTCTTAAATTATGAGAAAGCTTATGAACCAAAATCCGTAACTCCTGACGTATTCTTCCATCTTTGCTAATGCTTGACATTTAATCATAATTTAGACCTTTATCACATCATCTTGCAGTGTTATAAGTGAAGAGTTAAAGAGCTGCATGTTTTAGATGCTTTGGATTTAGTTGGAAGTGATCTAAACAGTTGAAAAAAACACTTAAGCATCAAAGTGGTGTAATCAGTCGTCATTATTGTGGTCCGAATATAAAGCTTGGATGACTGATAGGTGATAAAATAAGCCACTGTTCCACTGTTAAGCTGGGTTGCTCACAAAGTGTATGGGATCACCTAGTAAAACAGTATGTTGATAGAGGATGTATTACTGGATGCTGCCATAAGTGACCAGTATAATCATTCACGCTGTTCTGAAATGCTTTACAAGGCTGTGCTCTCATTTAAGAAAATTCACATAGGTGAATGGATCGCCCTTACTCAGTTTTAAAAGCGTTCCTACAGTTAATGAGGGAAAATTCTCATCCGTCAACAATCTGATGCTGACTTCATGTGTGCAGAGCACAGAAGTGGCAGCTCCCAGTGGTTTTGTTTGAACTAGCCCTCCCGGACTAGCACAGTCGGCATTGTTTTAGTCTACCATTGGTAAACAGTGTTGAGGTTTTTATCACAACAGAGGAATCGTGATTAAAAACTTCAGTGATAGAAGTGTATTTGTCATACCTAATTCTCAAGCTCTTTGGTATGATTAGGAAGTGCAGGTAAGGGTATCATGAATTTGGACCAGTTTTAGTAGTTACCCAGGCAGTGCTGTTCCTGTGGATGGAGCGCCCCAACTGGTGAATGGTAATGGGAATAGCCTGAACTTTGTCTTCTCTTTACAGGCAGAGCTTGTCGATGTGCAATATGGGACTGTGGAAGACTTGGTCCGGATTCAAGCCATTACAAACGTGACCAAAAAAATAGCACTTTTGAAGCTAGGACAATCACCTTTGCTCTATAAGGTTAGTTATGTGCTTGCCATACTTTGATTGATTTATTCGTTTGGCATTCAGTTTCTAAATACCAAAACAAGGCCTTTCCCACTCTTATCACGGTAAGTCAGGATTTATTGTCATTCAGATTCTTAATACTAACTAATTGGACCTACGGTGGCTATTATGTTTTCCTGTTATTGATTTCGCTGCATATGTTAACAGTGCACCAGTACTATGCCATCTTTTCCCTGAGTGTACCATAAGCCTTTTGGCAAATAAATCCCTAAAAGAAGTAACAGAGCCCAAGGAGAGAAAAACAACAACTGAGATTAGGACCAGTTGGATCTTTGTCTGCTAAAAATGTTTATATAATAGTGCACTAAAATCTTTTATTTCAACATCAGCATGTCTACTACTTGGCCTACTGGCTGCAGTTTAAGCATGCTCTGAGTTGAAAGTGAACGCCGCATGTGCTTACCTGACCTTAGGCTGTGTCTAAAGTCTAGCGCTTTCGGCCTTGCTACAGATGTGCAGCCGCAAGCACATTCTGAGATCGTAACCTATAGCATACGCTACGGGAGAAATAACTACTCCTTATTCAATTGTTTAAGAAATGACATTTTAACCTGATTTCGTAGTGATATAGTCTTGCTCTATGGCGAAGGTGCCATTGCCTCCTCCGTTCTTTCTGCCACTCTTACTAGCTCTGAGGGAGGAAAAGGACTGTAAGCTGGAAGACAGCATGAACTTTTCTGGTGTTTTCTGCTGTAAATGTGTAAGCGCACTATCTCAGGAGATACAGATATGTATATAAACGCCCCACCATTAATGGTCAGTCGCTCTTAATGCACAGAATGGGATTTCTTGGTCTATGAACAGGTTACTGCCAGTTCAGAATGAGCACGCTGTTTTTCTTCCGTTCTCTCCTTCGTTGTTCTTTGGTCCCAATTATATGGGGAGGGTGTATGTGTGTGTGCGCGCGCATCTGTGTTCATTCTCCTCTACCTTCAACACAGGCAGATAGCACAGAGATTAAGCTCCCTTGGTCTCTAGCACATTAGGCATGGCAGACTCAACATATAAAATACAGTTAAACTCTTAATATAAAACAACTGCCTTCTCTTGCAAATATTTCATAAACAAAAAAGCTATTGTGCCTTCAGAAAACACACTAGCCCAGTAAATAATTAAACAATTCATGCCCAATTCACAGGAGCAATTATGAAAGGCCAGTAGCTCCAGATTTTATAATTAACAGAATTTGGAGCTGCTCTGTTGGCCATAGAAAGCACAGTTGAGACTAGAACACAGGTTCAGAAAATGGCCACTTAATTTTTTTTTTTTTTAAAGGAATAATAGTTGCCTCAATAAAAATGCCCATTTCAGCTGAGTAACTTTAGCTATTTATCTAAATTATATAGATGCAATCTAATTATGTTCACAAACAGTCAGTTACTGTTGTTGGAATTTGGCTGTTGTGCATCATGTCTGCCAATAAGATTGTACATGCCGTTTCACTGCTAACTGACAAAAAGTAACGAAAGAGCTCATAAAACACTAATTTGATAAAGATACAAAGTTGACTGTAATATAATTGTCTACAGTGTCTGTAAGACTGACTTTTTACCAATTTAATCTCTATTTCTGTAAGGACATCTTAGGAGCTTTTACTTTGGATTGGCTCTAGCCTGGTCCCAAGCAATAAGTGCTTATCAGTGTTTGAAGTGTATTAGCTGCACTCTTGGTGCTCATCTTCTGCTTTAATTTTCTACAAAAGAATCCACTTTGCCTGTTTAGAGACTGTTACACAATATGAACCACAGTGTGGTAAGCGGGTTGATCAGGAGATTCACTTCAAAAGTAGTGAACTCCTGATCTGAGCTAAGATGGAAACCACCCACCCGTATCTGGCTTCACTTTAAGAATGCTCACTGAAGTCTTTAGGAAAAAAACAAACAAAAACCCCAAAAACCAGTCCTCCAAAGCTACTTTTTGTGCTCTGCTTGATTGATAAAGACTGGAAGTTTGGCCTTCACTTTATTTGTTATTTCTTCTTTTTGAGGTTGCAAACTCTTCCTTTTGGAATATAAATTGCAAATGGTGTCTTTTGGCTGTAAAATAATTGTAATCTTTTAGAAGTATGAGAAAATATGTGTTAAGTTATCAGAAATAGATTTTCCTTTCATAAGGATTATTTGTAAGTGAAAGAGAAAGATAGCTTCACAGAGGAAGTCCTACTGGTTTAAATGGGCCCAGTATCTCACTGCTGAATCTACTTTTTGTGTCTTCCCCCCTCCTCCCCAATCTTTGTGTTTCTATACTTAGAGTTTCACATTTCTGTTTCAGCAGACAGCTCTCTCTGTTTGCCTATTTTTTCCTTATCTCTGACTTCCACGTGCTTGGGTTTACATCCCGTTAAAACAGAAAGCTAGTTCCTAACAGAACTGTCACTGTGTTTTTTTTTTCCCCATTGCTTTTCTCCCTAATCTCTGCATTTAACTTGCATTTTAATGTGCTTTAATTTCTCATTATTTTTACTTTATATGGCCTGCTCAGGATTAGGGTCTCATTTTTACATGTTATGTACCAACATACATAAGGAGGTTTTATCTTCATGCCACAGAGTTTCCTACATGTCTTTATTTTTCATTTTCCCTTGCACATGTATACTTTTCATCTCTCCCTCTTTTACTGCCACCTAGTCTATTTTTCATGCATTCTTCCTGTTTTCCCCTTTTATTTTTTTATTCCCCCCCCCCCTTTTTTTTTTAATCTCCCCTGTTCTTTCTCTCCGTATTGAGTCCATCGGAAAAAGCTTGAAAGAAGTAATAAGCTGCCACTGGCAAAAAAATCACCATGAAAACTGAAGAACTTTTCTTTACTCCTTACATTACATTAAGCAGAAAGAAGTATGTGCAGATAAAAGCAGTTTGTACAAGGTGACAATTAATAGAAATATGCCAAAGTGATATAAATTGTTATATTTGAAAAAAATTGAGTAACTGGCAATATTTTTTGCTGTGGGGGTTTAGTTTGGTCTTTTATGGAGGGTTGGAGGAGGGTTAGACTTGAAACTAATTTGGAGCTTTTACATTAAGCCACTCAGCTTGGGCCTATCTCATATCTTCACACATGCTTGCTGAAAACAGTAGATGGGAGGGAGCTTCGAGTAGATAGAGAAGGGATGTGGAGTATAAAAGAAAAGCTGGAAGTTAATGTACTGTTAGAATATGCGGTTGAATCCTTAACATGAGTAATTTCTGTCAAATTTGGTAAGGTTGCCTGCATAAATAAATGCTGCTTTGTGCGAACAAGATTTGTAAAAATTTGACCTTAAGGTTATTTCTGTAATTAATTTTAGAGACCATGTTGGAAGACCTCAGTGCCATGGAAAGTTTGAGAAACCACTCCCCTAGAAGGGGCATGGAATTGACACCCACAGTTAGCAGACAGATTCTGCCTTTGCAAGGTTGAATTACTTAACTCTGAATACCTTTTAATATTCTTTAATAGTGCTGTGGACATATATTAATACTTTGAATTTAATCTTCAGATATTACTGGCAGTTTTGTACTTTGCATCAGGGCAAGAGACATGGCACTTACGGCAGTAGGCACATTCGCCAGAGTTTAGGCAGAGCCACGCAGATGCATCCCGATCCTTTAAGGTGGACCCTTTCAAATAAAAAATGGGTTAATACAGCTATGTGATCAATTATACATACAAAAAGGAAGAGCATGCACCCTATTTTTATAGTAGCGCAAAGTATCCAAAGAGAGCATGGAGTCTGAAAAATTCAAACAGGTAGAGCTTACAGTTTTGTGATAAGAAGGTAATAAAAAGGCATATATATTAAAAGATCTATTAATAACAGAGTAGAGAAGAGGTTCAGCAAGTGGTTTTGGCTTTGATATGGCACTGATAAGATCAGTAAGGGAATAAAATTCTACAATCTGTTTTAAAATGAATAGAAGTGGGAGAAAAGAATGACAGAAATGTTTCAAGGGGTGATGAAAGTTACAGTACAGCAAAGGCAGAGTCATTTTCAAATGCAGTGGAAAGAGGTTTAGGAATTTACAACTTAGGCACTTACAGTGATGATTTTCTGTGGCAGTGCAGACCAAGCGAGCTGATTCAGCAGTGAAGCGCAGGAGTACTCGTATGATGCATTAACTTGGTGCGGCTAAGTAATCCCTTGCTAAAGGGCAGTAACGAGTAACTGACAGAAGGCAAATTCTTAAACTACTATGGCTGCTTCAAAAGGGATCTTGTGACTACAGTTGGAGATAGTTAAGGAGCTGAATTGTTCTTGAATAAAGAGGGAAGTGGGTTAAGGGAGAAAAAAGACCTTTTCTACAGAGCAAATTGAAACTAGGCGAATTTAGAATAAAACTGATGCACAACTGGAACTAATTTCTAGAGAAAAGGTAGAATATGTATTTCCTCAGGCCTTCAAACTGAAGTGACTGTCTTCTGATATTCTGGCTAGAAGGAAAATTTGTTTCCATCAAACAGAAGCTGCGCTTTGGTTGACCTCGTTATTGGGATCGCTGGTGAGCTTTAGTAGCCAGTTATATAGGGGAGGTCAAAGCAAACTGACTTATGTCCTTGAGTGAGTTGGATCCATAAATGAGGGAAAGATAGCAAAAGTTATTGCTAGTGACTAAGCAGATCACTTTTGTAATGTGAAATACCTCCTCGAGAAAGAGCAGCTTGAGTTGTCTGCTCTGTTTATAGACAGAAACATCCTCTTCCAATAGCATAGAATGTGTGGTGACACAAAGATTGATTAAACACCTTACCAGCACACAGCTACACTGCCCTAAAGCTCATCTGAGCTGATGACTGTGAGTGCATAAAAGAAATAAGAGGATTTTTTTATTTTTTTAAAGGGAGAATTGCACAGTAAGTTCAATATGCAAAAAGTTTTTCCAGCCTCCAGAAATACCAAAATTGGATTCATTTTTTGAAGAATATTGTGAGTCTTGATCATGATTTAGTCTTTTGGGTTTGAGGTTCAAGAAAAA